AAGTTGATTAAATAGTTAGTCCTGTATTTTTCTAAACATAATATTTTTTTTTTTTAAGATGTATGTTAGACTAGAAACACAATAACTCGATATTTATTAAATGATACAAAATAATGATATTTTTTTATGCCAAATGCTACTGTTATACATTTTGTTGCAGAAATAATCACTAATACACAAAGGAAACTGTATCGAGAAAATATCATTTAACTTTCATTTAAAGTGCATCTCCGAAACACTTAAGTGCTCGAAAAAAAATGCTCGTTGTAAAAAATTTACAAACCAACAACATATGAATAGTTCGAAACGATCTCTTACTTGACAAAATCACTATTATTAAATTATAAAAATTAGTACATAAAAAAATTTCTTTACAAATTATTATATTTCCAACTAAAAATGTTGTACTTGTAAAAGGATTGTTTCTGAAAAAAAAATTTAATATTATTGAAATTGAAAAAACTACTTCTCATCGTTTGCTGATTCGTTTCGCTTATTCTTCCCTTGCTTTCTTAATATATCTCTATCATATCTTTGGTTAGATTTCCCTTAGAGAAGTCCGTAGCGAGAAATCAATGCGAGAAAACGTGAGATAACGACTGATTTTCAAGCGGAAGAAATTTTCGCCGAGAATGAACGTGCCGAGGGCTTTATTAGATCACTAGACAAAGAGGTTGAAGCCGTTTTGGTATTCTTCGTAGAGCTAAGAGAAATCTGGACTAATTAAAGCAAAACGTGCACGCCGACAACGTATGGTTTAATTGTACTTTTCTTTCTGCCAGCTGCCGTATATTTGCTTGCTGGTGCGATAGTCGGCCTCGTATTAATAGCAGAGATTCTTTATAGAATACGTATGAGCACTTGGTAATTTTACACTTTAACATTTTCGCGATAACAATTGTGATATCTCGCAAAATTGTATTTGCTTTTTTGCGCTTGATGAATAATTGTTATTTTTTACTTGAAACTGGTTGAACTAGTCTATTTGATAAAAAGAAGATTGGATTTTTTAATGCTGCATAATAAAATTATACAACATACAATTAACTGATTTGGATAATTAATTAAGCTGATTAATAATTAATCAAGCTGATTTAAATTTTTTAATCAAGAAATTATATGTATAAATTAATATCTTCAAACACTAATGACATTCCTAAATTGACAAAAATTATATCGTCTTGTTCTCTAACATAAATTGTAAAAAAGGAATCGCTTGAATTCTAAATATAACGAGATCTATTTATGATTTCGCGAATGCAGACCTGTCTCTGAGCCAAGTTTAGCTTTTGAAAAAAAAATGTTGCTGCAATGTTGGTGTGTATGTGTAGCGGGCCTGCATTAATTTTCCCTTTCTGAATATTTCCGTGGCTCTCGAAAAGTTTTGAATCTTCGTTAAGTAACTCGTCTGCTCTGCGAACCGTTTCTTTGCTGCTCTTCAGCAATTCTACGTCCTCGCACATATATTTTTTCTCGATTCTTTCTCCGCACTCTTTCTCTCCTTCGCATAACTAAGCTATTTTTCTCGGTGCAAACGCCCTTCCTTCTAGCAGTTCTCTATTTATAACATAACACGTGTTCTTAAAGGAGATTCTCGTTTCGCGCTTACAATATGCTGCAGTTATAAATCGGCATGTTGCAAAAAAAATATGATTGATGAGAGGATATTATTTAACCGGATATTTATCGCAAAACGCAGATGTTACGGATTAAAATTATTCACTTTCCGCCAAGCTTTCCGCTTGATTAATAAAACTGTTCTATTCATCAAAATTTTTATATATTTATTTGTTATTTATTTTCTATTTCTGTCTCCCGATTTGTCGGACAATATTTACAGTAATATTATACGTTTTGTAGGTATTGCAGTATATCGTGCTGTTTAAATTTATTACCTTGGAAATATGTTGTTCGTAAAGAACGAGGTTTTACCTTCGCGCAGATACCGATAGTATTGGGATATATTACCGTCTTTTCAAGCATGAACGTAAAGCCGATTCGTTATGATTGCTACCTAAATGAAATTTTCAAGGAACTGGGACCGATATATACGGGGAGAAGAGAAAATACTGTTCTAAACTTTTATCAGCTCTTGCCATATATCTTTTTATCGTCAAAGTACCTTCTTCGACTTTATTACGATGATCGGCTTAATATCGGTCGCACCGTTTCTGATGTAAGACTCGTAATTAAATGAGAAATGTAAGAAAAAGCTCGACGAACGAGAGAACGCGGCAACGAGCTCGGCAGAATTAAATTACGACCCGAGTTTGAAAGTACAGTCATGTGTTAATATTTTCTTAAAGGGTATTAGAGTTAAAAGTTTAATATTTCCTTCTACCACGACTTTAATAGTTGGATAAACGAAATATAGTTGGTTGTCTGGTATAGAATTTATTCTTCATTATCCTAATTAGTATGCGCGACCGTAAAATGGATGCGGGTTCAACATTTATGCGGAACCATAATAGTAATGCAGAATTTAAGCACTTTAATTTTCCTTCGGTGATAAAATTACCACAATTTCGGTTTACATAATTCTCGCTAACGTATCCGATTTTTATGTGATTATTTTATATTTTGTACGTTATATTTTGTATAATCACTAATGTATGGATCTCGCTGTAGATATATACCCCTTTTTGTAGAGTTTAACGCATATATCGCGGCCTGAAATGTACACCTGCGCACGATTAAGTTTCAGGGTAGCTTCGACGATCCCTGATCATCCGCCGGTGAACAATTACACGGATATTTGCTATGGCACATTGCACGTCCACACGCGACAATAGCTTCCTAATGCTCTTAATACCTGCCATAATTCCAGGCATGATGTTCGTGGGTGTGCATTTCGTAGTGTAGTATTGTATAGCAACGTTTCAGCGTAATTGGTCCGGTCGAGATTCACCTCACAGTGTTTTCTCACACCTCCCCCTCCCCCTCCTCCTCCTCCCCTCCTCGGTGGGATTCACCGTCCGGCGATTATATTATAGTGTTAAAGCATTAGTGCATACTCGTAAACATGCGGCATAATGAGCCAGCTGCATTCGCAGACATGAACAACTTTGCTATTTCCCTCCCTTTTTTGCGCAGCTGCGAAGACGAACCAGCGGTTTGATTTATTTACGCCGAATTGCAGTCGGTTGCATTTTTTTATTTTATTCCATAAATGCGTAATGAAAAATGGAGAGATTTACTAAACAGTAAATTAGTATGACACTTAGATACATGATTATTAGTCGTAAATAGAAATTAACGTAAGAGATTGATATATTTAATATATATTTGTTTTTATCTTGTATATAATTTATTTTCGACTAATCCATTATTATTTCTACTATAGCCAAGTAGTATTGGATTAGAGAAATCAAATTTATACAATCGGGAAATTACGGAGATCATGATTTGTATCGCATTCAGTCTCAGTTTTTATAGGATTACTCGCGCAATGTTTCACGAATTTATTTTTTGTCAAACGTATTATATGGCAGGATTTTTTACGTATGTATGCATTTTGAAAAGAAGAAACCTTTCGCGTTTTAGCTCGATTTTCCACCTCGAAAAATATTTTTTACTCCTGTCATATGAATATCTGGTGCACTCCTGTCACGAGATATAGCCGTAACGCGATACGCGGATATAAGGCAAGTTTTTGCGCCGTCCATTTGTATTTTTTATTTATTAATGCTTTCATCGCGAACGCGAAATTAGAAGCGACAGTACGCATCATACGAAAAATGCCTCGACTTAAAATAAATGTGTGAAATTTAAACTTGATGCATTGTTCAAATAATCTTTTTTTAATAGAATAGTTTGATAATTGATCGGAGTAAGTTATTAAATCACGAAGGTTTGATAAAAAAAAAAAAAATCTTGGAAAGTTCAATAGAAAAATATTGATCGGAAATTGTCTGTTTTTAAGAATTGCAATTTTTCACAAATTTCTATTAATACGAGAGCTTATACGGAGATTTTTTCCGTATTTAAATTATTTGCGTACTGCAGTTTGACAAATGCGTTCTGCAACAACTGCACGATACGAAAGGCGTGCGTGTTTTTTTTTTTCTCATTTAATCGCACGAATGCGTAATGGCTTCCGCTTTTATCCCAGTTCTACCATTCGACACTCGTATACAGTTAACGTGATATTCCTCGAAAAAATATTTCACCGAGTGAAATATCGGGCTAAAAAGATGTACGCGACCGCGACAGTATCTTCCTTGCGAATGCTCACCGAGTTTTCTATCGTGGTTCCAGGGTGCAGCGGGAGAAACTAATAGTGGTGAGATCGAGGAGGAGGACGCTGCGAAATAAAGCGAGAAGGATAGCGGCGGATAAAGCTCGAAGTGATTCAGAAAGAGAGATACGCTCGCTTAGTGCGGCTTCGTGTGTGTATAACATGTACATATGCGCGACTATATCTCTGAAAACGCGCCGAATTACCGCAGTGCGCAGTATTTCTCCGTTTTAATTTTATTTCGTCTCCGGCCTCTGCCGCGCGTTAATCACGATTAAATAGCACTCCCGCCCCATCGGCAGAAAAAAAAGAATTCAAAATTTTATGAGCCGTTTCCGAGCAATTGCGGTTACCGCGAGAGAGTCTTCCTTATTAAAAATAAAATGAAGAATAAAAAAATCAAGGGGTTTCGAGTGTGTTTCCGGTCTGGAGAGATCTCGAGGTATGGTACGTCGCAGACGCTCTGTGTGTTTGTGCGGTAGATTCTCGTTTATTATTTTTAACGCACAGCTTTTCACGGTGCTTGTGCGGCGAAATGAAAAAGGACGTCAGAAGGCCAGTGATACCGAGGATGGTAGTTTTGATATACGGCTCGCTTGTCTCGAAAGTGGTGAAGTGCAAATCCACAAGAGGCGCAATATTTTTACGATAAACAGGGGCGCAAAAAATTTTAAAGAGGAAATATATACGTATATACTTCGTTCGGCAATCCTGAGGAAAACTTGACGGAAAATAAATTTACTCCCTTCTCTCTTTGTTTCAGGTAAGCCGCAAGAACGTGTGCCATCAAAAATTCCCTCGCAGATGCGGTATGAGAGATGTGCGTGTCCCGTAGAATCGCAGTTATGGTAATGTAAGAAATATATATCGTTGCATTTAAGATGATATTGCGCTCTCGGATTTCGTGAGGGAACACATCTGAATTTTTGCCCCGGATTCGGGGGGATCATTATTGTCGCCCGCGAAAGGAATTCTGAAAATTCCGCGACGCGAACCGTGCGACGGTTTATGCACGCTTTGTTGTGTTCCCCGCGTAGTTTCCTTGCTGGGAAATTCCTTTCGGACAATAAACCGTAGATCATGACAAATAGCCGAGACGAGGTGGGCGGTGCCGGGTAGCATCAAGCGGGTTAATTTTTAACTCCCCCTCGTAACCAAGAGATTTATCGCGTCGGCCTTTGTTAAGCCGACATTCTCTACATAGATACGTATACGTATATGTATATGCATTGCTCTGTATCTGCATCGTTTTGTACGCAGTTACGCCACTGTATGTATATTTTCGTGCATCGATGCAAAATACGCGCGAATGTTTGGAAGAGAAAAAAAAGTAATTTTATTTCGGATTATAGGGCGCAACGATATCCTCCGAAAATTGAATGATGGATGTTTCTGCAATCGTGGAATAATATTTCTTGCCGCTACGCGATTGTCGCGATATGATTTTTCTATCTCGATCGTCTATTTTTGTCCCTTACTCAAATACGTATGTCCCCCCTGAAGTACTTTGGCCAATTGTCGACGGTATCCTGTGCAAAATATAGGAAAGTTTGAATTGGCCACCGAATCGAATGCTATTTCTGTTAGCGACTTGATTAAAATTCAACGTGACCGTCGCCGGTCGTTTCTCGCAAGTGCATTCTCCGACTCTTTCGTTTTAGCTGCAAATCGTAGGACAATCGTGCTCTTGTACGCGTTCCGCGCAATGCTCACGTATGTACGTATATATGGGCACGCTTCTGTATGCGTTTAAATCACGGAATATGGACTACAGATACTCGAAAGATTTATACGAGCGGATTAAAAAACAAAGACCATAGCCAAGTATACGTTACCGGTACATTCTGTTTAATTAAAGCTACTCGATGAAGTCTGCAGTGTATGTGTGCGCGATACATTTACTTTTCCCTGTCGGATTCACTTTGTTTGTCCTTTCGTAATTTGAATATCAGCAGGTTACTTAGGTGCAGCAAACGTTGTACATTATTACTTCTTCCAATGAATACTCATTCTATCACAAAAATATGATATATGAGTATTGAATCTACAAATTATATACGCATTATGCCGTTCACAGAGAGATTTAATTTAAAAAAAATTATAAAATCATAATTTATTGCACTTGTAAGTTTTCAATAATGTTAAATTATGTAAAAATTTTCAAAGTATTTTTTCCAATTTATGATTTTGTCTTAACTTTGTGTCTCTCATCTCTTTAATGTTCACAAGAATAATTATAGTTTATTTTTACACAAATTATATAGACTTAGGGACGCGTCATATAATTATCGCTCACCCATTTTCTACACATCACCGCTCACGTGCAAGCAATTATCTTTAATTAGCGGCATAGATCGAGAAGTAATGTGCCTTTATATAGCCGCGAATGCGCCGCACGCATTTATACCGGTCATTTATCAGCACCCCTTTCCGCTCTTCTCACCGATTTTCGGTCGTTGACAGGCTGTGCTCAAAATAGTATGCACCCTTCGTGCTGGAACAATCGTGCGGGGGGAGGCTGTCGTTGCAAAAAGTACCGAACAATGGCCGCTTTACAAGCGTCATCCACGTTCTATAAATCATAGTTACGCGGTGGGGCGTCTTTTTATCCGAGGTCGCGCTGGAAACATTAGGTTCTCTCGCGTAAATATGCAGAAAAATTGTGTCAAATCTGACGCTTTCTTTGTTCAAGATAAGGAAAATCAAATGTTAAATTTAACATATTCATATAATTAAATTTAATTTCATTTTATTATTTATTAATTTCATTTTTCATATAATTAAATTTAATTTCATATAATTAAATTTAATTTCATATTATTAAATTTAACATATTCAATAATTTATCATTTTTGTCTCCTTCACTAAATCAACTTATCTCAAGTGAAATCGTTTAATCGTGAAAATATATGTGTGACAATATATTTTACTTATACATATGCATATATTTTGATCGTTATGTTCGATAATTTTTTTTTATTGTGATAAGTATTATTCAACTCACGTTATCCATCGTAATAATTTTATCGTCTTAATATAATTTTCTGAAGTTTAATTCTCGCATTGAGAACTAATTATAGCGAATCCTTTGCATTCGTACGATTCGCGGCTTGTCGTGTATAAATAACCTCGCTTCTCTCTCTCTCTCTTTTCTGTCTGTATCTGTCCTTCCCTTCCTCCCCCCTCTCTCTCTCTCACTCATTCTCTCTGTGTACTCCCGGGAGTATAATTTCCCCTAATTAGAACAAAATTACTAATTACGTTCCGCGCAACATGCAATTAATTTTCGGTGAGATAGGGAGGGGGGAGAGAAAGATATATGTACAACTTCCCATTTCTTCTTCCCGAGTTAGCGGCGCCGGAAAAGGAGACGGAATTTCGCTACGAGCAAGATGTATGAGCTCCGACAACAAGCAGCCAATCTCTGTCGGATCTTCTTTTTTTTTCCTTACTCGCCATCTCGTTTTTTCAAGCGATTTCTCCGGAAGCTGATGTGTCAGAAAGCGAAGGTATGCCGGGATGCATATTTTCGAAGAGTCAGGGCGGCTAGTCTTAATTATACGCGTCAGTGCGTCCGCTTAAGTAGGATTTTACTATAATCATAATAGACATTTCATCCATCCGTCTTCTTCCTGAACCGCTATTGCGACGAATAATTACTGTAATTCGTAACACTTAATACACTGTGCTTATTTATTATCTGAGGGAGATCAAGATGACTCGCGGAATCATTTGTACTTTCTTCGAGATGACTACAATCATTTAATTAATAATTGGCAGTTTGTGTTAATTATTAATTATTAATTTTTATGAGTAACAAATGAAGTAGAACAGAGCGACTCGTTATTTAATATAACTTCAATAGATAATTGTTTTATGAATTAATGAAACAAATAATAATACTTTAATGTATTTTTGTGCTCACAAGTTACGATAAAATGTGAATTAAGGCAATACTTCAGGCAAATCTCACCCTCGGTATTTAAATTCGCGAGTCGTATTTCTAGCTGAATTTTTATTTTTGTTAACTGAAACGGAAGAGCTGCTGTTGTTCAAACGATCTTTTTATAAATTCTACGTTGCATCGTCTTGACTGGCTTGTCTTGACATTTTACACCCCTCCTCCTTTTGTATAAGATCTTTTTCCCTTATTCTTTATTCTATGCTGCTTGCTGCTGCTCGACGGTACTTTATTTACCGTGAAATTCGTCACGACGAAGTATAAGAGTGCAGTTTCACGTTTCACGCGACAACGGTTCGTTTTCTTACCGCAATTTTTGCGAAAGATATGCCCCAAGGCCCTCTCTTCTCCAATAATTTATAAATAGAAGTTATACATAATATATATATATATATATATATATATATATATATAATATATATTATATTTATATTTATATTTTTAATTTATTTCTAAATTTTTTATTATTTTATTATATATATTTTCAAATTTTTATATATTTTATATAATTGTTATTAGACACATGTATATGAATACATGTATATAAATATTCATAACCATGCTTGAACAGAAATGCTTGCGTTTAAACTATTAGTATTTTAATTTTGCAATTATGGCCGGCTTATTTATACCAATAAATAATAGAATAAAAAAGAGAAGTCGATCTCATATCGATTATTTGGAGAGAAAATATTGTAACTAATGTAGAGACTTACTTTTTATGATTTTTTTTACTCTATTGAAATTTTTAACAAAAAAATTGTTTCCGGGAAAAGCCAATATTAAATACAACCGAATAAAACACGTTAATTACACGTAAATTTTATTGATTATAAATTACTTAGAAAGAGCACGTTTTTTATCATTTTAGCTTCACTATTGCATATGAATTTTTAAAAATTACGGATCTTCTCTCTCTCGTAGCAATCTATCGAAAGAATGCATAGCTTCGCATTTTCCGCAATAGGGATTTCCTAGAGCGTTTTATATGGGAATGATTGCATGAAAATTTATTATAATGACGCGGATGATCATGTCCATAAGATTTCTACTCCTTTTCTGACGTATTATATTTATGATACTTTCTTCAATTTAGACGCGTAAGAAATGATTGATATAAAATTATTCAATTTCAAGCCTTCAATAATCTCATTTGAATTATTCACTAGTGATCCAAATGATTGATTAATATCGAATACGAAACGAGTTTCTGAATCTATGTCTTGGTTTTATAAATTTGAATTCTTAAGAACTATTCTCGACATTAAATTTTAAGATAGGAATATTTTATGGCACCGAATAGAGCACGAATTGCGCATAATGAACTTTCATCGTAAATTTATTGTATTCATTTTAATATATCGATTAGTTTCATCATTACAGATACGAATTCCGCAAAACGCAACCTTCCTTTTTTTCGATAAAATATTTATTCATTATAACGGTAAAGTCTTTCTAAATTTTTTGCTCAAAAATATCGTGAGTAGAGAATCTTAAAAAAAATTACAACGTGAGTTCAGCACTCAAAATATAATTTTGTAGGCGATATTTCCCATGTTTCTTCTCCGATCAAAATCATATTATTGAGATAACACGAAATTTGACAGCTGAAATCTCCAAAGAAAAAGGATATGAATCTGGCGCCAACCCAGTTTGGCTTCCCCCGTAGGTGTTACGATTCACTTTCTCTCTCTCTCTCTGTCTCTTTTGCGCGGGACTAGTGGCTTTATGAATATTCCATCCGCGTACTTTCGCGGTCGCGATTGCGCAACTGCGGTACCGACGACTGCGGCAGCGCGGTGCGGAGATGTGAAACGGGCTTAAGGCAGCCGAGCCGACACAGAAGAGCCATCACTTTCGTTCTCGGTTCCGGTTCAGGGTCGCGGA